AAAGTTGTTGCATTTTTTAATTTCCAAATTTAAGCGGATGAAAATATCAAGAATTACAGTGGTAATTTTCATGTCGTTTCTTCGGGCAACAATAAATAAATATTCTTCTCATTTGGAGAATCGCTAGCATGAAAGAAAACTATTTATTTTTTAAATCAATGGAGTATTATCTTAACATTTAAAATCTAGAAGACAAAACAAATTAAAATCTATCATGGATACATGACTTTGAAAAGATTAAATAAACACAAATCTCAAATTGTTATGTTGTTTTAGATTTCAATTTTAAAAGTTTAATGGTGGAATCGTGGTGGAACGAAGAAAGAAAGAAAGAAAATGATGATGGAGATGGAGGTTGATGAGAGAGAGTGAGAATTGATTAACATGATAGCTTAAATTGGGAATGATTTGATTGTGCATATAATTAATTTTAAGGAATATGACTATCTGATATGGTATCTTTAATAATATATGATATATAAAATATAAAAAATAGTAATAAATGTAATTGTTAAAAGTAAAGGTAAATAAAGTCATATATGGTAGGTATGTATATCTAATAAAGTAGTTTATTTGCTTAATTACAAATATATACCTAACCTCTTTCTTTTAATATGTTTCGTTATTTGTCTCCAATTTTCTGTTAAGGTTGTGTTAGATCAGTTTTCTCATGTGAAAGAGATCAAAACCTTGATTTCTTATAAGATACTCCAGCAGCTCAATGTGTTGTGGGCAAAAAACATAAATCTCATTAGTTTAGGTCCTAATTATTAAGATTCTCGATAGTTTTAAATATTACTTCATCTATCATATTTCGTGCTTAGGATACATGAGTTTGAATCCACGAAATACATGTATCTATCGAATTTTTAAATCGAAATACATATTTTATTTGTTTAAATTAATTAGTTGTAACTTATTTCCGTAATTAGAGGAGTAATTGAGATACAAGTATCTACCATATTTCGTGCTTAGGATACATGAGTCTGAATCCGTGAGATACAAGTATCTGCCGAATTTTAAAATTGAGATATATAATTTATTTGTTTAAATTAATTAGTTGCAACTAATTTCCTTAATTAGAAGAGTAATTGAGATACATGTATCTTTACTCGCGAGATACATATATCTATCGATTTTAAAAGTCAAGATACACCATTTATTACTTTGAATTAAAGGGATGTAACTTATTTGCTTAATTAAAGGATTATAAATTGATGAATAATTAACAACTCAAACGGATTCACAGAATCCTAGCGAATCAACTCTAACAAGTTTTCTTAAAATAATAAAATCATAAACCATATTAATTCTATAATTGTAAACTTCAACTTCTTCATCAATTCCTTCATTTGTATCTTAAAGTTTTGGCTTGAATGTTGACAGATAAAGACCCTGCAATGAAAACAAACTTAATTTATAAAAGTTTATAAAATCAAACTTTACAGTAATATAAATTATATTTCAAATACATGAACATGATGTAAATTAAGATATATGAGAATAATGAAAAAAAGGTAGATAATTTGTTGAAGTTGAGGTATGTTATAGATGGTGGTGTTGAGGTCCACTTTATTGCATTGAGGGGTCAGTAGATTAGAGCTTACCTCTGTATTGTGATATTCAATGGAGAGAATATATGCAATGCGGCACACCTTTTTCTTATGGCACAAGAAGCTCACAAAACAATCTGATTTCACCATCCGAAGCGTTATGCCTCTCTCTAATTCGAAGTTAAATTTTAATGAGAAAATAAGGAGTTTAAATTTTAATGAAAAAATAATTTGAATTTCGAATGTACCATTAATTAAGTAATTTAAATTTTAAGATAATTATTGAATATCATATTTTAAGGGATTTGTGTATCTAATAAAATCTTTGAAAATATATGGTATAAATAATAAAAGTGATATTATGTATAATTTTTTTAACTTAGAGATAAAGTAAGTATATACGATAGTGAAGTGTGTCTTATTAAGTACCTTTTCCTTAAAATTTTCCTAAGGTGGGTTCCACCATTTGATGATTTTCCTACTAAGTACTATGTCCTCTCCAGATATAAAATATGGAACGCGTATAACGTAATATTCACGGTATGAAATAACAATAATAACGGTCTACCACACAATAATCAGCTAGAACAAAAAGAGTAGTAAGGACACGTACTAAAGGATTTTACTGCAGAAAAACTTTCTAAATAAGGAGGGAAAAATCATAATCCGAAGAGGAACAATTAATATCGCTATACTATCTATTCTATTCTAATCTATATGATACTTTTTTTTTTTTTTTAACTATTTTGAAAAGAATAACATATTTTTATAGTCATATAAATATTTATGACTTATTTTAGACTATAAATTTAAAAAAATTGATTATTTTCTGTCAAGTGAAACAACATCACACATAAATTGAGACAGAGAGAGTCACACTTTATGGGCCCTAGTAAAGTTTACTCCAAAAATCACTACGAGCTTAAAATAAAATACTCCATCTATTCTTATTTATTTGTCGTCCTTGCGAAAAATAGATGTTCCTTAATACTTGTCATTTCACAAAATCAATACATAAATGACATTATTCTTTCTATTTTACTCTTGAAAGTTATTAATCTTGAAAGTATTAATTTGACCAATATAGTAAAATTAAATAATTAATATATGTTCGTTGGTCAATTTATTAATCAAAATAAATTAATATATATTCATTTATTGATCTTGACTTTAAGAAAACACTAAATAAGGGTAGAATAGTAAACTTAATTTCTTAAGAGACATGAAATCTAAAATGATGACATATAAATAAGAACGGGGAAAGTAACTTTTAATTTATCTCTATAATTTTTCCTCCAAACTATAATATAATGCACATTTTTCTGTTTTTTCTCACACACTATATCTATATTTATGGCTCCAATAATTAGTTTGCTACAGTAAGAGATAATTTTTGTCAAATGACACGGAGAGGATCGGAGGAGATATGTAAATGTCCACATGTAAATTGCATCGGGGCTTCGCTGACGTTTCTTCGTAAGTTCGGGGAAACATACTTATGAAAAGTGGTGGAGCTACCTCAAGCTGACTCTCATTCGTCGGAAAATTATATATTTTTCAGTTCAATTAAAATTTTAGTTTTACTTGTATATATTATATACTTTGACTTCTTTTATCTTCTCTTACATGTATTTCTTTTTGATATTTTGATATTTCTTAGTAAAATTTCCAACTCTGCCATTACTTACGAATCTACCAGCCAGTTTCATGGATTTTCGTTTTTCACAGGAAAACCGAAGAGGGATAGCCTAAAAAAATAAATAAAAATGGATGTTGCCCAATAATAAGAAAAATTGGGAAACAAAAAAAAGATTGAACGGCTTACAAAATTCTTTTAATTAATTTCTCAAAGCAAAAAATCAATTTGTAATGCCTTCTAAAACGAAATTAGAGAGGAAGATTCAGAGGAAAATTCCTAGCAGTAGTAGTTGAAATTCACTTAAAGTAAAGCAATTATTTTTCGTATAAATAGAACGATAACACTCAGTTTAATCAGTGAAAAAGAAAATTACAGTACTAAAAATAGTGTATTTTAAAGTTTTTCCTAAAGCAAATTAAAAAGCCCTATATGGATCTGGGAGAACATTCTGCTAATAATTCAGTTCTTGTCTCATCTTCATTTCGCAAACTAAGGAAGTCTGTCGCCTCTCTCTTTTACTTGGTTTTATACTACTCTAAATTTCACAAATCTAAACTTTCGAAATGCAAGAACGATCACGAGAATTATTCATTTCTTTCGAAATAATTTTTCCTTCTAAGAAAAATTAGTGAAACTATTGAATTCCAAAATTTGAGAAAGTTTTTCAACCCATCTTTGTAAATTTCACGTAAAAATGTTATTTTCTCTTCTTTGTAAAAGATATAACCAAACACAATTTTTACTTGCTAAATTTCAACTAAGTGAAAAATATTTGAAATCTATACGAAGGTCAAATGCCTTCTTAGCATTTTATTTTGGGCTTTGATCAGGTTGTTTAATGCTGTGCTCCCGATCGTGCGTTTAAGGAAGTTAATGAAGCGGCTTTGCGTCGATCCAGCTGTGAGCACCAAACTCATTAATTTAAATTCTTATTTTATTTTATTAAGAAACAACATGTGATAAAAGGTACTCTACTGTAGTATTTATTTAGTTAGGGTTTGGATGGTTATTATTGATTGAGTTTTCTGATGGAGTAGAACAAGGTCGATTTAGGCGATCCAGCTAGTTAAGTTAGGTTTGAAATTTATTTATTTCCAAAATCGTTACATTTATTTTGGTGTTGAGCAAAAGTCTTCACAACGTCATAATGGATTGATTGGTTTTGTTCTACTCGGTCTATGAACAAATTATATCCAGATTTTTTCTTACAGAGTTTAGTATTGATATGTGTTGAGATTATTATTTTTTATGTTAATGTCTAGTTTAGTTTCTAGATCTTTAGATATGATTTTTAGTGAGAATATTAATCTACTTTTGAATTGGCACACCTATTAAGTAATCAATTAATGACATAGTCAGTTTATCATTTACCCTTATTAATTATGAAGTGGATGAAAAGTTTTGCATTTTTCAAAGTAATTAGTCATTTAATTGAGGATATAATAGGTAAAAAAAAATGAACATTCTTGATTTGTCAAAATGGACAAGTAATTAGGGACAACTATAAAAGAAAAAGTAGACAAGTAATTAGGGAAGTAATGGACGAAGTCAATGTTGGCGTACCATTTATGTGTCCCCTTTATTGCAACTTGTTAGTTGTTGTTATGCTGAAAATTCATTGACCACAACAATCATGTTTTCCTTCTTTCTGTCAATATAGTACTGACTATATTTATGCAGGAATATTTGACTTCTTTAATTAGTACGCTAATTTGTGCCCTAAAATATTATTTGACACTATCTCTTTATAAATTTGATATAATTAAGGATTTAATTAATTTACACTAGTACTGCATTTTAATCTATTGTATAAAATGACTTGTACGATGTTAATCTAATTAAGTTGCATGTTCAAATACAGGCCGTAGAGATTTCAACCATCCCAAGGCAACGATAAGCTTGGAGATCTATTCATTTCTAATTTCATTCATAGTTATTACATTGTTTTTCCGTATGATAGTGAGACCTGTATATGTTATTCAGAAAACTGCAGGAAAAATTGAATCCAGGGCATTTAAAATTACAGTTTTCGAACAACGTGCGTGGTCCAATATATACTGGGCTCCCCATAGGAGATCAAGAGGGCTCCCCCTTAGATCTACATTTAATTGACTGCAGTACTCAAAATATTGTGAATCCTGGGCCAGAAGCAACAACAGAAGTGGAAATAGTTGTCCTTGAGAAAGATTTTACAAGGTATGGTGGCGAAAAATCGCTGATTCGTGGAAATCCTCGAGTCATCGTGAAAAATGGGAGTGTTTCTGTAAGTCATATTTCATTCAAACATACTAGAGATACTATGAGAAACCGTGAGTTGAGACTAGGTGCATTAAGAGTTGGGACCAGAATCGTGGAAGCAGTCACTGAACCATTCTTTGTCAAGGATCGTCGTAACAGTACGTACTTAATTCATTTAAATTATGTATTTCATTTGTGATTGATTTCACTAATTTAATTAATTAATTTACAGTAAGCAAGAGATTGAAGCCCCTATTTCTTCATGATGAAGTTTGGAAACTGGAAACAATTGGCAAAAACGGTCCTTTCCATGAACGTTTGATGAAGGAAAACATTAAAACAGTCAACGACTTGTTAACTCACTACTTTTTGAACCGTGAAAACCTACTCAAAGTAAGACAATTAATTAATTATCACTGAATAATTAATTTTTCTTTTTATCTGAAATATTATTTGTATGTATAAAGATCCTTGGCAGGCATATGAACGTGGAGAAATTGGATGCAGCAGTAAATCAGGCAAAGAATAAACTTGACTTGAAAAGATATGTGTATCCCCACGAAAATCCACTAGTGATATTTACTGATGTGGGAGAATTGACTGGAGTAGGACTGGAAGAAGAGGGTCAGTTCTTCTCTGTCCAACAGCTCACTGATCAAACTCAAAAGGTTCCAATTTTACCCTTTTTCATTTCCTTTTTTAAACTGAATTGCTTCAACTAGCAGCTACAATATTTTGATTGAAATTGTGAGAAAAGAAAAATTAAGAGTGTTTTCATTAAAAAAAAAAAAAATAGGAAATATTTCACTATTTTGTCACGAGGCGAGGACTACTACTGACTTGTTTTTTGACTTCATCTGGTGATAGGCTATTGCAATGGAAATGGTAAAAAAAGCCTTTCAAGAAGGCCGCCAGAATTTCAAGGTTTTATTGGATGATGATAGTTTTTATAATGGATTCACTTCCGATGAGGCTTATAATTCTGTAATTGACACACAACAGCTGCAACCAGTGCCTAATAATGTTGCTAATGACATGCCAAACACAAGTTTGATAGTGAATAATTATGACATTATAAGCCAAATCAATAGCTTATCCACAACTTCTACTGGTGAATTACCACATCAATTTCATCCAGATGACAACGACTTCATCATCTACCAAGATCTTTCCCCAATCATCTGGAATTAATTATTACATCAGGATTGTTTCATTAGTTAATTAATCTGTTATAGTCGGTGCTGTGGTCGAGTCAGACCGAAGGATTTCAAAATATGAAGAAGTATGCATACGAAGAAATCAAAGACAGATCAACATCAACTATATATATATTTTAACTACATAAAAATAGTATAGTATTTTCCGCCAAAAGAGGTTCAGATGAAACTCGAAACCTTACTAGCTAGCTCAGCCCCTGGTGGTAGATTATATTGAATGATAATTATAAGTAGACTTGAAGATCAAAAGTCTCATATGGAAAGTGTGATTGTAAGGATAACTCTGTCATTTTAATTTTAATTACTTTTGTTACGCCTAGTTGTGGCAATTAATTTCCAGAAGGGACATATATATATATATTTGTATATTCTCAAAGGCCAAATTATTTACGATAATTTAACAATTTCAAATAAATTTTAAACATGAATCATATACATTTCAGACAAACTGATACAATTTTTTTTATATCATTTCCTATATTCAAAAGATTAGATAATCACTCTTTTGAGACAATAATAGCATAACGCCCCAAACATCTTTCTCAATTCTTTGCATTGTCTAGACAAATGTGTGTTAGCTTAAATAAATTCATGAAAAATTATAAGAGTCCTTAAAAATAAATATTACTCTATGAAAAGGCATCGATTTAATTTACCATCTCACCCATTGTTTATTTGTCCAATAAAACGTTAGCCGCCAGGGTTGAAAATATATATATATATATATATATATATATGAATATGACCAAAAGATTAAGCAATTTGGAAATTGGAACAATAGATAGGTCATGTTAACACATCAACATTGATGTGAAATAGATATGGACATATTCTAGTATCAGCGAGTCCATTTCTAAACTCTAGTGACTAACTGACGTACTGTCACCATTTTCTCTTTCTTATTTGTCCCCCTAATTAAAAAAAAATTAGATATATGACATGACTCATGTAAAATCCAATATTAACATTGTCCAGCATGTTAACTTTTACGAAAATTACGTCTTTTTCAGCAAAAGATGACAGTATAATGTGTGATTTATGTGGTGATGTTTGATTTGATAAGGAGTTAAAGAAAAATTAAGACTTTTGAAATTTATGGTCTAAAATAGAAGTATGTTATTTTTTCAGACATTAACTAATTAGGATTCCGAGGTCGGGCAAAACCCCCTTCTATATTTAAAAAAAAAAAAACTAAACAAGAAAGAGAGTCATGTAAATTAAGACAAAAGAAATAGTAATATTATACTATCTTTACTGTTTAGACCATGTATAAATCACATATTAGAGCTGTTTCAGCATTCTCATAAACAAATTATTGTCTGTATATAAGCCATTAATAATGAACTTTAGTTCTATTTATCAGTACTATAACTATAATTCTCCACCAAAACATATAAATACACAATGTATTAAAGGCTTTACATCTAGATGTTGAAGGTGGTAAGATATTAGGACAACAAGCGCGTGACCCCAGCGTCAAAAGTCAAAACTATGAATTAATATGTTGTAAGTTAGTAAAAATAGTCTCCTGTCTTTTAGAAATACCTAGTTTTTTTAACGTGCTCAAGCTAAAAACATCACTTATTGAGAAACGAAGGGAGTATGTGGAAAATTTCAGTTCTAGTATTAATCCTTAGAAATAACTAGTTTAATTAACTTGTTAAAAGTTGATTATATAAATTCTACATTGTTTTTGTAAATCAGCCCGACTTGGTTTAGTGATAAATTGACTCTTCTAATGATATTAGCATATCCAATTGATGTAGAATTTGTTCACTGCCCTTTCCATTACAATAAGAAGAAGATGCTGGGTTGTTACACAATTTAACTTTTTTTAAAATAAATAAATAAATTATGTTACACGACTAAATAGAGTCTAATATCTTTAATTACTTGCAGCGCAACGCTTACCATCACTTTCAAACAATTTGGCTATTAATTTTTTTTTATTAATTTAAAAAAACTATTGTATGTTTTGGGTGTTATTATTTATGAAAACTCTTATTTAGTCTTGCTGCTGGTAATAAAAAAAGTTTTTTTCTTTTTACACATTATATTCCTGACTCTCCGACTATTATCATATCATAAAATCCTGAACGTTACTTTAGTCCTTCCTTATCATTTTTTTATTTTTATTTTTAAAATTGTTTTTTAAAGTTTGATCAACTTAATATGTGAAAATTAACAGAAAATGTTTTCCTTTCGTACCAAACACACCTTATATGCAACTTATTATTCTCTATTTAATTTCTTGATACAACATTTTTGTGATTGAAAATAGTAGTAATTGTACTAGGTATTGAATGTACTCATTACTTGACTAATTAACGTAACTAGAAAAGGACAAGTACAGAGTACTAAACCAAATTCAACCTTAATTAATCCCTTGTAAGAGACTTCCCTTAAATGGTTCACCATCTTTATCTATAAATAAAGATAATTTTAGAGACTTCTACGGTTCTACTAAAGTTTAGGCTTATAAGTTATAACACATACCTCTTTTGAGGAAAAAACAATTATTTTTTCTTAATATGTTAAAACTAACAAGTAAAAATAAATGATTATTTTTAAAATAATGAACAAGTAAAAAAGTGAGCAGGAATAATAATATAAATATAATGATTTTTCTAGATAAATTTTCATTTTGAAAATAGTCTCATTAAAAATAAAGTACCAAAAGAAGTGAGGCTACATGGATTCGAGCTCACGTCGCTTACTCGTGGGAATACCTCACTTATCCATCTAAGCTGCGCACACATAATTGATAGGACTTGTCACTTTATAGTATATACTACAGGTAATGCTAAATGGCCAAAATTTGGGAAAGAAATTTTAAAAATCTGTAATATTTTTTTATTTTAAAATATACTGATCTTTTTTTCATTTTTTAATTTAATTAAAAGATATTAAAGCAAAAAAGGTAAAAATGTTCAAAAAGGAAAAATAACATAGGTAAAATATCATTCTGGCCAAAAAGATTTTTTTTATATGCATGTACTTTCTGTTGTCTTTTAATTATTGGAAAAGGGTAAAAAATACCCTTAAACTATCCGAAATAGCTCATATTTACCCTTAAACTATATTTCGGCTCAAAACTACCCTTCCCGTCAAACTATTGGGTCAAAAGTACCCTTCTTATTAACGAAAGTTGTTAAATGTCATGTGGATGCCACATTGCATGCCAATAGGGTTCCACTGCCACATACTAAATACCTAAATCCTAATTACTCCCCCCTCCCTCCTCATTTCATTATTTTCCAAAAACGATTTCACCTATTCTCCTTTATTTCGCGGCTAGGGTTTCACAGTTTTCTTCGTGGCTGGGTTTCAAAGTGGATATTCGTGGCTGTAGGTTAGTAAATCTTATGTTTACGATTTCAAAGCATGATAGTTAGGATTTCACAACTTTCCCCTCATTTCGCGGCTAGGGTTTCATAGCTTTCTTCGGGGCTGGGTTTCAAAGTGGATATTCATGGTTGTAAACATAATAAAATAAGAAAAAAATGTACTAACCTACAACCACGAATATCCTCTTTGAAACCCAGCGACAAAGAAAACTGTGAAACCCTAGCCGCGAAATGAGGGAGAAGGGGTGAAATCGTTTCTGGAAAATAATGAAATGAGGGGGAAAAAAGAGTAATTAAGATTTGGGAATTTAGTCTATGTGGCAGTGGAACCCTATTGGTGTGCAACGTGGCATCCACATGGTATTTAACAACTTCCGTTAATAAGAAGGACACTTTTGATCCAATAGTTTGACGGAAATGGTAGTTTTGAGCCGAAATATAGTTTAAGGGTAAATATGAGCTATTTCGGATAATTTAAGGGTATTTTTGACCCTTTTCCGTATTTACAATTTTAAATTTGAAATTGAAAAATAAGGTTTAGGAATAAAAATTATATCTTTGAGAGTAAATAGCTTTTTTATCTATTCATTTATTTTTGAAAAAACTTACTGCTTACTAATTTAGACTACAGGCTTTGTCACTATATTTATATACAAAAAAAATATATATATAACTAAAAATCAAATGATATTATTGAGTTATACGTTTGAGTTATAAAATATAGTTTAAGGGTATATATGAGTTATTTCGGATAGTTTAAGGTTATTTTTGACCCTTTTCCGTTTAATTATTCATACCTATTTAGCAATAACTAGTTTGACTTGACACGAAATTTAAGAAAATAAGGAAAACTTTTTAATATTGTGATTCTAAATTATGTTAAATATATCAAAATGTCTTTTAATCTTGTGGCATTAATAAATATTTTATATGGAAAGTTGAAATTAAAATGTCGAAAAAAAGACCATTCATTTTTAAGATAGAGTGAAAAGTAAATTACATTTGGGTTTCACTGATGTTTCTCCGTGTACAGAAAGTCTTTTACGCGTTTCCTGGATCCTTCCCAAATTATATTGTATAACTATAAATACACACTCGATTGTAGATTAACAAACAACACTTTCTCATGGATCTGAAAAAAAATTCTCCTAGTAATTCAGCACCTCAAGGGGCCTCATTTCATAGGTTTTTTTTTAGCTAATTTTTCAGATTTCTGAATAGCGTTTAATATTCCTGAAGATTTATAACTGCGTATTTACTTGAATTCAACCAATTTGATTAATTTTACTTTATTTTGGGGTTGTTGATGATCAGGTCTGTTATGGTTGTGCTACAAGTCTTGCGTTTACTCAAGTCAATGAGGCGGCTAAGCATTCATCCAGCTGTGAGTAGCATCACCATCAAATCTATATTTTATCCTTTGTGATTGCTTTCACATATTGTTTAATTTATTTGTAATGCAGAAAAAGCTAAAATGACTTAGCAAATATTAGTACCGTGTTAATCAAATGTGTTAACATATACTATTACTTTCACTGGAACGGAGGAGACGATTAACTTGAAATGGAACGGAGGATGTAGAACATAATCTGAAGCAAATACCACAGGAAGTCAAAGTAATTATGTATTTTGTGTCTCTTTGCTGCAACTTGTTGTGTACCATCCAAAATTGTTTTTGACATCTTTAATTCTAGAGATGGAGAGTCCTTTCTCTTACTTACCCATAGCTCTTGTCTTAGTGACTTTTCTTCTTTTCTAGTTTTTTTTCTTTCTCTTTTCTGGGAGTACTAAAACAATATAGATTTTTCATTTGTCAATATAGTAGATCTGCCTAGATTTGATCAGTAATTCTTGGCTATAGAAAGTTTATGTGACATGAATCGCTTTGGGAACGTCACGGGGGAGGAAGATAGAAAGGTAACCTATGACACCGGGGAATTACGCTTTTTCTCCCGCCTCAGCTTTGTGGATGGAAGGAGGGCGAGAGCGTAGCACGCACACTCTATGCTTTTCGCCAGCTTTCCCTCTAGTAAAAGATTAGCTCGTACTTGATTGATGCAAATCCTAATCCCATTCTGTGACAACTTTGAGTGCGATCGGAAAGGAATAAGGCCCGAAATGCCTACGTCGAAAGAAAAGGCAGTCTTTAAGTGAATGCACCCGGTTCTGCCTTAAATTGCTAAAAGAAAGGCGAGCAAGTATTCCCTATTGATCACTACCTGATGCATAACCCAACTCGATCTGTGATTTGATTGTATGAATCTTCCTCTTTTTCTTTTTTTTCTGGGTAAAGGGTTTTGGTAATGCTTATCATTACGCCTTGGTCATTTAGGTGTTTTATTTCAACCTCAATCGAATTTCTTTGTGAAACTATACAGGTTGTAGGAGTTGAACGGAAACCTGATGAGATTTCGACCGGCCCAAGGCAAGATAAGCGTCCTTTATATATATATATATATATATATATATATATATATATATATTTCATTTTGATTATCATCGTCGTTATTTTCATTAATCTTGTTCCAGCCTGTGTTTGATACACAAATTTATGATAGTGGAACTTGTACATATTGCACAGGAAAGAGGAGGAAAACTTCAATCCTTGTGATCAGTGTGAATTAGGGCATTTAAAATTAAAATTTTCAAACAACATGATAAAAGGTCCAGTTTATACTGGGGTACCCATAGGTGAAGATCTGGGCAATACCTTAAATCTAGATTTAGTTGATTGCCTTACTGAAAATATTGTTAAATTTGGGCCTGAAGCATCAAGTAAGGTGGAAATAGTTGTCTTTGAGAAAGAACAACTCAAAACAGTTACAAATTGGCTGGATGGAAAATCACTGATTCGAGGAGATCCTCATGTCAAGTTGAAAGACGGTAGAGTTTCTGTCAGTCATATATCATTCAAACATACAAATGTATCGATGCGAAAACGTGAGTTCAGATTAGGTGCAAGAGCTGTGGATAATTGTGATATTAGAACTAGAATTATTGAAGCAGTTACTGAACCATTCTTCGTTGTGGATCGTCGTTCCAGTAAGTACCTTGCTTTCCAATTAATCACGTACTTGTTCCATTAAATTCTAAATTATAGTTCGAATTTTGCAGTGCCCAAGAGCAAGAAGCCCCTAAAACTTGATGATCAAGTTTGGAAACTGCCAACGATTAACAAAGGCGGTCCTTCTCATCATTGTTTAACCAAGGAAAACATTAAAACTGTGCGGGATTTTTTAACTCTCTACTTTTTGAACCGTGAAAACCTACTCACCGTAAGATTTTTTATTTTTATTCCTCTCAATTGAAATCGTTTCAACAACATCTATCTATAGACTATAGTTGAGTTAGGATGTATAATTACTTTTACTGCCTAATTATTAAAATTTGGATGAAAGGTTCATCCAAATTTTTCATGTGTTGCTGATTTTGGCCATCATATCTAATGTGGACCAATAGTTGCAGAATAAATAAAATTTCGTTAGTAAGGACTAAGGAGGCAACTTATGCTCAACTGCGCTCCCTATATATTTCTTGTCTATATCTTTTTAGTTAATTCTATCCACCCAGGCTTTCACTTTCCGTCACTGGCAACGCGATTCAAACTATAGCTTGTACTGAGCAGGAGACTACTGAAATAGTCCAGACCGGATCGGATATGATTTCATGATTTTACCTACTGGCCGGTAGGTTAATTTTTTTATTTTTTATTTTTGGGGTCGTCATAGCTAGTTTCTATGTTTTTACTAGTTAAAGAGTTGTGAATTGAAACTTCTTGCTAGCTGTTTTAATTTGATTTTTGTCTTCACTATTAGAGTATCTTAGTTTTTTAAACAAGGCCAATGTGATGGTTATGTTATACTAAAGAAAAAAAAAACTTCTCTGTTGTCTAATCTTAAGTGCGTTTTCTCTTTTTTTTTCCTTTCTTGTTTCATTATGAAGTACTGAAATATTTTTGCATATATGTATAAAGATCCTTGGCAGGAGCAGTTTGCAGGTAAAGAAATTGGATGAAGCAGTAAATGAGGCAAAGAGTAAAGTTGAGTTGAAAAGATATGTGTATCCCCAAGAAAATCCACTAGTTAAATATACTGAGGTGGGAGAATTGATTGGACTACTCGATGAAGGGGGTGACTTCGTTTCTGTCCAACAGCTCCCCCCAAATGAAAAGGTTCCTATTTTACCCTTTTTATTCATTTCCTTTTAAACAGTTTGCTTCAACGTTGAGTTTTGAGAAAAAAAAATCTGGTAGGAAGCGTTTTTTCCTTGTAATAGACTTTACGCGACTCATATTAAAATTAGTGTCTGACTAAAATATGTATGTTCCAAAAAGAAGGTAGACTACTATTTTGTCACGCGTAGTACTAATGACTGACTTGCCTTTTGACTTCATCTGGTGATAGACTCTTGCTGGCATGGAAATGGTGAAAAGAGGTTTTCAAGATGACCACCAGAATTCTAAAGTTTTATTGGATGATGATACTTCTACTTCTAATTTGTTGGTGAAAAAAGCCTTTCAAGATGATGATAATAAAGCGGCTGATCTTGACGAATTTAATAATGGATTCACTTTCGAGGATTATAATTATACAAGTGACACACAGCAGCTGCAACCAGTGATTAATAATGTTACTAATTACACGGGGAATAATTATGACAATATAAGCCAAATCAATAGCTTATCATCACCAGTACAACATCAATTTGATACAGATAACAACGACTTTATCTACAGCATTTGGGACTAATTATTACTACATCATAATTGTTTCATTGGTTTATTTGTTGAGTGATAATTATAAGTTGACTTGAAGATCAAGAGTCTCATATAGAAAGTGTGATTGTAAGGGTAACTCTGTCATTTTATATTTTTAGTATTACTTTTGTTACGCCTAGTTTTGGCAATTAATTTACCCAAGAGACATGTATTAATTCATACACATTATTATAGATAAACTTGTTACATCATCTCCTATTCGAAAAGCCAAATAATCACTCTTTTGAGATACCAATAGTTTTCTCCATTTCTAATTTGTATTGTCTAGACAAATGAATGTCTGTTTTAAACTCACACGTTTTAACAAAATACTATAGTATAATAAATAAGTACATGTTTTGGCCTCCAAAATAAATTCATGAAAAATTACAAGTCTTTCAAAACAAAAATAACTCTATGAAAAGGCATTAATATAATTTATTGTATCCCCCATTGTTTATTTGTCCAACAATGCCTTAGCCGCCATGGTTGAACATATATATGACCAACAGACCAGGCAATTTGGAACAATAGATAGGTCATGTTAACATATGAAATAGACAAGTCCATATATTAGTTTCGAGCCAATTAATTATTAGTGGCTAACTGACTGTCACCATTTGTTGTTTTTATTTATAAATACTCTAATTAACGAATATAATTAATTAGTTGGTTTATGTCATGTCAAACCAATATTTCCCTTGTCCAACATGTTTTTTTTTGTACGAAAATTTCTGCCTTTTTTCCTGCGATAGATGATCATATAGTCTTCGTACAAATCACATATTAGAGTTGTTTCCGCATGCATATAAACAGAGTGTCCCATTAATTATGAAGTTTAATTCTATTGATCAGTACTAAATATAATCACTATAATAATTCTCGACCAAAACATATAAATACATAATTTATTAAGGCTTTACATCAATTCATGAGCAATTAATTAAAAATAAAAATAAAAAGATAAGAAAAGTGGAAAGAAAGATTTTTAATTTTTAGTACTTGAAAAATGCTAAAACAAATATGTCATGTGCAAGATGCTTTGACATTTTCATCCAAGAATTGACACAATTCGAATGTAGGTCTCACCTTTTTTTGTACGTAAAAATATTAAAGGTGATAGTAACATATTATATTTATTAGGACAAACGCGTGACCCCAGCCCCAAAAAGTCAAAACTATGAATTACTATGGGTTAGTTAGTAAAATATTTTTTTATCTTTTAGTAATAAGTAATATCTAGAATTGTTCAAGTTAAAAATAATTTATTCACTGCCCTTCCATTACAATGATAAGAAGATGCTGGGTTATTAAACAATTAATTTATTTTTTTAAAATTATGTTACTCAACTAAATAGAGCTTAAATATCTTTACTTGCAGTGCAAGCTTACCATCACTTTCAATAAAAAAAATTAAATTTTTTTCATTTTTTTTCTTCTGATTTTATTCTTATTCTTTCTCAGTTGCCAAGTCAAATATGTAGGAAAACAAGACTTTAAGAGCACAAGTCGAGAACTATTTATTGACTTAATGACTAACAAATAATGTGTCTCAACTTTTCGGGCATGCTTAATTTTATTCGCAAAAACTAGCTTTCGTTCTAACACAATTAATTAATTTCATAGATGAAAAGGTTGGTTATTATCTCTAACAATATTGGATAATAATGAAATTTTAATCAAACAAGCCGATGAATTATCTTAATTTATCCAACCAAACAATTATATCTATTTCTTTATTCAACATTTTTGTGCTAAAAAAAGTAGTACTAGTTGTAAGTATTGAATGTACTCATTACTCGACTAATTAACGTAACTAGAAAGTACAAAGTACTTGACCAAATTCAACCTTAATTAATTAATCCATTATAAGGGACTTCCTTTAAAATGTTTCCCCCTCTTTAACCATCATAGTAATTTCAGAGATCTCTTCTGAAACTTGAGTTTATAACACATATATATACCTCTCATGTGATAATAAATACTCCCTATGTCCCTAGCTAATTATTTGTCCACTTTTGAATTTGACACACATATTAAAAAAATAATGATTGATATGGTGAGTTTATCATATTACCCCTATTAATTATGAAGTTGATGATAGGTTAAAAAAGTCTGTCCTTTCTTGATTTGTCAAAATTGGACAAGTAAATTAGGGACAACTAAAAAATGAAAAGTGGAGAAGTAATTAGGGACAAATGGAGTATTAAGTAATATGATTTTCTCTTTTTGATATTATTTTTTTCAGTCATTCTCTATTGAAACCTTCATTTTCAAACATTTTCGTATTTATTATTGGGTTTCTGAACCCCATCGATATTGGGGAGGTCAAAAACTGCCACGTTTGGGCATAGTTGAGCTCATAATATTACTCCCTCCATCCAACAATATTTGTTCACTATATTAAAAATAGATGTCCAATAATATTTGTCCACTTTATGAAATTCATGGATAAATATACACTTAGGGGTCGTTTGATTTGAATACAAGTTATGCGGGGATTAATTATGTTGGGATTAGTTTTTATTGCTTGTTTGGTTTGTCATATTCAAACTAATATTCATTGTATAATTTTTAAGAATAAGTTACTTGTTTACAAAAATACCCTCAGCTTATTTAGTTTTTTTTTTTACATTTTCTTTGCAAGCTTTAGTTATTCATTCTTAAAAATAAATTTTCCATCTTATTTAGTTTAAAAATAAAGCTTTCATCTTATTTAGTTTAAAAATAAAACTTTCATTCTTATTTAGCTTAAAAATAGAACTTTCATTTTAAGTTTATTAAAGTAAAAGAAAATTTATTATTAAAGTTATCTACATTTTAATTATAGATAAAATATAATTTTTAAGTGAGTAATAAACTATTTAATGAAAAATATGTAATTTAGTAGTGGAGTGAACATTTTAAGAGAAATCAAAATATAAATAAATATAATAATTACGCAAATAAATTCAACTTTTAATATTCATAAATAAAAATTGTATTTATAAAATGTAATTTTTTAATAGAAAAATATAATTTATCATTAAAACAACGAATAATTAAGATTGTGAATGTTATTATAAATGTTGTTAAAATTTTTGTTAATATGTATGAATGTAAAAGTGATGTATAAAAGAGAGTTTAAGGGGGGTATATTTGTTCATTTACATACCTTATCCCAGGATAACTTATCCTGGGATTACTATACCACCCCAATGAGGAATAACTTATGAAAAAACTAATTGTTAATCCTGGGATAAGTTATCCCTACCTTTGCAACCAAACAATGAATTAAAGGCCACTAATAAGTTATTCCAGGATTAATTCTTCTTATCCATCACACCAAACGACCACTTAGTTCCTAATTTATCCTTATTATTAATTATAGTCATTTCACTGTTACATTTTCAAGACATTGTACTCCCTCTGTTCCTAATTACTTGTCAACTTTTGAATTGACACACCTATTAAGAAATCAATTAATGACATAGTGAGTTTATCATTTTACCCCTATTAATTATGAAGTGGATGAAAAATGCTGCATTTTCCAAAGTAAATAGTCATTTAATTGAGGGTATAATAGGTAAAAAAAATTTTTATCTTTTCTTGATTTGTCAAAATGGACAAGTAATTAGGGACAACTATAAATGGAAAATGGACAAGTAATTAGGGACAAAGGAAGTATTTATTATATTCAAAGGGTGATATAATAAAATTACTTTTCTATTTATAGTTTCTTAAGGGATGTGCCAAATTAATAGTGGACAACTACCGTTGGACATAATGATATATTAAATGAGACAAAATTCCATATATAATTGACTTTAATTCGTTGCCGATAATGGCATAATAACGACATTTTTGGGAAAAAGGACAATAGATGGAAGTTCATTTAATTATTATAAAAGTTTGGATCTTTCATTTTCTTTTTAAGTACTTTTTACTCCCACTATTCATAAGCACATGTACACCTCCACTGAATAATTAAATTTTAAAATGTCACCCAATTAATAATGGTTTCGTCAAGACAATCATATCAAATTATGTGGATTCATGTACTTTGATTGATCATTCATTTTAATCATATGTCGTAATATTGAATTGAAGCTCTTGGACAACCCAAAAAAGGATATATTATTATGGCCAAATGTCTTATTCCATTTCATTTTCTCCCAACGCAATTTCATAGTACTTGTTATTTTAAAGAATAACAATTTCAAAATTCAACCATAATTTAGTTTTTCTTTTTTTATTCCTTAATTACCATCTTAATTAGTGTGAACCATATTAATTTCTCAAAATTAGGTTGTTTTTTTTTTTTTAAAAAAAAAAAGCTTAGCCATGAGAAGTTATATTTGAAAAGCATAAAAATTGAGTCTTCTTGCTCATAGCAGAGTAAAAAGGTTTTCTAGTCTAGTCAAGCCGAAAAATGAGACTGCCCTATAAATCTGTTTTCTTGGAGACACAATAATTTCCTCTTTTATGACTATGAGTGTGTGTATAAATTATGGTTTACAAACCTAAGACGTAAGTCATAAATTTGGAATTCTAATATTTGATTATAAATTATGGGAATAAATATTTTGAGAATTTATTTTTGAATATGTTTTTAAACAATAAATTTGATCACATTTTGAAAATCTGATTTGCAAATATTTAAGTTGCCAAAGACTTCCATTTTACAATTATTTTAAAAAAATATCAAGTAACATGCATATTTTAACATAACTTTCAAATTTCAAAATCGCAACTATAAAAATTTAAATTTAAATTTGAAAATTTATGATCAAACAGAAACTAATTTATTATGATTTTGACTTAAAATAAGTGATTAATAACACTTTTTTGAATCTTACATGGCCAAACAATATATATATATATATATATATATATATATATCTTTTCGTCTCAACGTCGTATTATAACGAAAATTTGACAAGATAAATTTCCATTATCTGTTCATTTCTCTCTTCTGTCCTTTTTCTTTTTTGCAACCTAAGAAGTAGTGAGTTAATATCTTAAAATGCTATTGAACTATGTGAAATTATCTAGTAAAGTCACTGAATTTTATTTTGTATCATTAAAATCACTCAACTTAATACGTTTATCTTCTAAAATTAAAAACTACATTCATCATTAAAACAATTTTTATATGGCAAATTAAATTTTTGTATGCCATGTAATCATGGACCCTACAAATAAATAAAATTATAAAATTTATTTATTTTAA